TCTACGTAGAACCGTCGCTTTCTTAGCGGCCGTTCGATGATCGAGTAAGGGAAGAAGTAAGAATAGCTTAACTAGGGATGTTAGAATCGTCGTTGTCGGGTGTTTTGAGCTCATGGAGCCTGATACCGAGAGGAAAGAGCGTTTCTCGGTCGTGGCGGTGTTGCTAGCAGACCGGTTGTTATCCGACCGTAAGTATACAGAACCGCGCAAGGGGGAAGTGCACACATCGGCACCAACTGTGTAATTTGAGGGTAATTCCGCGAGTCGTATAACCTGTAGGTAATGCCGGCAGGCAGGCAACCAGCCAGAGAGTGCATCAGTGCGCTGCTCGTTTCGTTTAATTGGTCGTTCCCGGGTTTACGAGGTTTCAACCGAGGCGCTACGAGAGGATGCTACACGCTGCAAAGGATGGTTGAACTGCCAACCACCGGCTAAAATCTACGCTCCGAGTTTCAAGCATCGCTAGCAAAGCTTTCATCAAAAGTTTCGTACGCGTCAGAAATCTGTCTAGGCTCATTCTGCTTTTCGAAATAAACCAGGCTCTTTTGAATTTTAATCAAATGCAATCCGTTAATAAACTATTACATCGATAGTAATCCTAATTAAAGTCCGTGCAGGTTCAGGATGAAATTTATTTCATTTAGCTGCTTCGATTTTATTGATTATTATCAGTTAAACGATCTGAAATTTATTTTCAATAAATTCGATCCACTGTTTTAATGATACCAATGAATGTTAATGTTCTGGAACGAGCACACCGCTTTACTAACACTGATTATCATATTCAACCATTTGAAACTTCTTTGCTTATCGTACTATTATATCTCTATTAATAGAGATTTATCAGGAAATTTTCCTAGAGTTTGATTACAACTTGCGTGTTGTTCGATGATCCTACGAAGAGATTGTAGCGCCATTTGCCGCGCTTGCCACTGAGGGATCACTCACAGTAGCAACCAATTCTCTCGCCTCAGTGTCTATTTGGCCGAAAATTAGTTCGCTACCAGAGACAGAAATTATGACAAATGATTATAGAATCTAGACGAAATCATTCTGAACTTGAATAGAAGGGCTAACAATAAGATACCAAAATGATCCCCAATATACTTTTCAAGCCAATACTAGAACGCGTAACGTACGTAGGTAGGAAATGCGAGCAAGAGGGTTTAATATCGCTAGCCGAGATAGAAGCAATAAATGCTTGTCAAGTAAATCAGGATGAAGCGCCATCGAGGAGCGCGTAATGGCCGCATTAAGTGAATAACTCACGGTTGCAATGTTAGACTCCGGGGCGCAACGTGAGCTGTGCGTTGGACTGTTAGGAACTGTTAGGGGTGATAGCGGTGCCATCAAACAACTTTACGGCGTTAAGAGCTGCCGAGACCGACTATTGATGCATTACCAACCTAATTTCAGCCAAATACCAGTACGCGCGCTGTCTCTCGACGAAACGTGTACATTAAACCCCTCCTGGTGTTGAAGCATTCCATTCGCTTCGCAACAGAATATAGAGACTCAATTATCTTTTGATATCTTAATTACTTTAACCCTTATAATTTAAAAGTATGGAAATTCTACCGAATTCCCCGTTCGCAGAAAAATAATTAATGATAGCTAATAAAGAAATGACGAGGTGGCGATACGTAAGCGGAAATAATTCATATCGGTGGCAAAGTGACATCGTTTACATCGAACGCCTCTGACCGAGTGATTCTTCTCCTTTGGTATCCCGTTCTTAGAATTAGTGACACGGAAAACATGGCGACGGCGTGCGCAGAGACACAGAGAGCGCGATATAGCAGGAAAACAAGTGTAAGAGCGCAGGAACCGAGGAATATATTTATAGCCGCCTCGAGCTATTAAGATAATTTATCGGGGCCATTACCGAACAAACGAGAGCATTAATCTATTCTAGCTTCATAAAGAGAACTTCGTCGACGATTTTGTAGCCTGCGCGCCAAACGAGCACTTCGGAGTAAATTGATGGATCCCCCTGACCTGGCTGAGGACCCTCTGTAAATTGCTCGTAAATTTTTATTTATTCCGCCGCAAATAAAACTGCTGTAACGGGGAAGAGAGAAAGGAACGATTCTTACATCTACACGCTTGCATCATCGTCATTCGCCGATTCCTAATAGCATCGACGATTTTCCACGATCGTAAATTTTAATCGACCCGATGACGCTCAGATCTCCTCAGTTTCTACTCATTTAGTATTTATACATATTCACTGTTATTCAAAAGAAAAAGTTGATAATGTATTTCCAAAGATGAAACGTTAATGGATTTCTTTGAGTAACAGATATTGATTTTGCAAAACCATTAAAGATAAGGTGAAATATTTCAATTTTATAGTATTTAATATGGTGTATCTACTGTTAAAAAAAAAGAAAGAATATTTTCAAGGATCCAGTTACCACGTGTAACAATTATAAAATATATAATTTACAGAAAATCAGTTAACCACCGATATCGAAGAGAATTTACTATTCACTGTTCGCGATAAGCATTAGCTACACGAAATTAATCTATGGATTAACGTTTCATCGACTGCTTATCGGAGCCATTTATCAGCGACGGCGCTGTGTAACATTTATTACATTACGGACGGGACGAATCAAGATTTCGAAAGGTTGGAAACAAGTCGGGGGATATTAGGAAAGTTGCCGTGGCTGAACGAAACTGATCGATAAAGCCGGTGAATCAAGATCGTGTAAGGAGATAAAGCGGTGTGCGGGGTACATCTGCCGTCAGAAATGGTCGAGTAGGCCGGAAAGGATCCCGTCGAATCCCAGTGGCGTGACGGGCTGCCTACACGCTGCCGGGTCTGCATTGATCAAAGCGGCAATTACTGTCATCGTAATATTACTCGGGACGTTACTTGGGACGAGGGTAGAGCAGAGAGGCAGAACTAAATCCACCCTCCGCTTCACCATGCCTCGATGCTTTAACCCTGTACGCTACCGGTCGGTATTCAATCTCTCCTGCAAATTGTCAAACAATTCAATTAAGCCAGAATTTCGAGTTACTTTTGATACTTGCTTGAAAGAAGAATTCTTGAACCGTTAAAAATTTAGAGAAATTTTCTTCGATAATTTTAGACCCGTTGAAAAGTTTTCAACCATCATTTAATTTAAGTTTACACTTTAGTCGGCTGAAAAATTCAAGAAAATCAGAGGAAAATAGCTCGTAAAAATAATTTATGTTTAATCTTGTGAGCAAAGGACGGTTTTGGTCGTTTGTCACCCTGGAAAAATTGTCCTAAATTGATCGCTAATTTCTGGAGGTTACGGGTAGAATTTCAAAGATCGAGATGAGGGACAGAGCTTAGGGAAATATGATACGGTAGCTGGAACGTGAAGCATGGAAGCCACTGACACAAGGCGATAAATTCGATGCGTTTTCGAAAAGGAAAGCAGGGAACGGGGGGTGAACTCGTAGCCGGTCAATAAACGTCAGAAAGCGAAAGAAGCAAGGTGAAGTATGGAGGCTTAGTTACGGTGTGGTTTCGTAAAATTCTTAGTGGGATAAAGTTGAAAGCTGCGTCTAATAATGGTATAGTTGCTCGGGGGTCAAACACGTAAAAAGAGGGCGAAGATTTATGACGCACCACGCTTCGCTCAGCGTGAACCGCTGGGGATAGAGAGCCCAGCAAGCGTTCTGCTAGAAAGGAAACAGCTTACAGTACCGAAGCACAATGGGAATAAGCCTTGGAAACAAGCGAAACGCGACGATTCTAGATCGTGCCTCGTTCGAGAAAACTAACCAGGTATGAATTGATTTTTCTCGATCTCTTGTCACCGTTATCGTTTTTCATCCATATCCTTTGTATTTACTCAAACAAAATGACAAAGTGGCATGGCTGCTCTTTGGCTCGTGGCTAGTGATTCACTGGTGATCGTTTCGAATCCACAGGGTGATTTATAAACGTCTAACAATATGTTATAGTCTTCTTCTATTTCTCTCTATTGCACCGTCACGATCACAGCATCACAATCAAATTTTTAACTTATCTAATATTTGATCCAAGCATTCCATATAATTTAATTTAGAATTGAAATCCAATTACGATTACATATTTTTAATTTCCGAGAATTAATAATATTTCCAAATTTTCAAGAGTATCAAATAAAATTTCTATAAATTTTCAAAAGTCTCAAGAACTTTGATTTTAAACAAATATAAGAAATAATTGAAAATGGCTTGGTTTGCGCACTCCGCGGTCTCAGTACATACGAATTTGTTTTCTTTCTTCTTTTTCTTCTTTCTTTCTCCACTTCCACCCTGAATAAAGACCTCCCACATATTTCCATGACTTCCTCGATCAGGTATCCGGCCCACGCCACGGGACATCCAACGAAAGGTCGCGCAAAACTGCGACCTCGAGGTTCGATATCCATTTTCGTGAGGCTACTTCTCCGGAACTGAATGAAGCACACGGTTACAAGGTTTTTTGGCAAGTTCGCGGTTGGTGGTCAAAGTACGACCTTCCGACATTCCGAGTTTTCAGGATCAGCTGTTGCTAAATGTACTACAAAGCTTTGTGAAAAGTTTTCGAAGAATCGATAACAATGAAGGTCGATTTCAAATACTCTACACGACCAACAGTTTCATAGAATTCTTCTTTTCGCATCCTTTCACAGTCGTCGATTTATCATTTTGGAGTTATTGCTCATGTTACTGGACAATCTTTCATACATCCTCATTTTGAGATTCTGCTTAAATTAATTAATACTTTGTGAAAGATGAAAATTTTCCAGATTTTCAAGACCTTTAATTTCTTCAAATTAATGAAAATCAGTGAGAATAAATTCGATTATACATTGAGGAGATTCCTGTCATCAGGGGTGCTGATACTTATACCTTTTGCGCTTTTCCCTCGTTTCATAAATATCTGCTCTAAGGTTCAAAAGTTTTAACCTAATAATTTTCTCAATATTGCATCAGTATTTCATTACCATTTCTAACCCTTTGTAATAAATTAAAACAACTGTCCGGATTAAAAGCTTTTTTGTACCCGTACAAAATGTGCAAATAAAAAAAGGAAAAAATAAATAAATATATATATATATATATAGTTATGTGTAAAGATAAGCACAGTTTGTTGTAGAGAGAGGGAGAGTTGGTGGATGCGACAGAAGAGAAGGAGTAGGAGGGGAACACCATCTATTTTCGCCTCCCTGTTGCAAGCAGAAGCAGAATGATTTATGCGGAGCGAGTGCCGCGTCTCCACGCTGCGGGAGAATTCTCGCTTTCAGCTCTGCACCCAGCTGTGTCGCCAGGGTGGCAGACTGTGGCATTGCCTTCACTCTCTCGATCTTCTCAACATTGCCGTGAGCGGTACGATGCATCTTTCTTGGATGACGTGCAACTACCAACCATCGTTCTCTCCTTCCATCGACCATCTCTTCCTCTTTTCTCTCCTTCGCGCGTATGTGTCTTCGAGCAGAAGCTAATCATAGAGCAACGACAAACATTCTGAGTTATGCGCACGCTAAATGAACGGCTCGTACCGAAGAGATACATTAAAGAATTCGTTTCGAACCAACATACATATTCCTCTGACGGACGCTGAGATGTTATTTTACACTTGTTTGCTCGCTTAAGAGCTCCGTACTATTGTACGTACCTTTTTCTTTTCTTTCATCGATCTTTCCACCAGAAATATATTATCCATTTCACGAGTCTCCTACGTTTGTCGACTACCCTCTTCTTTTATTTTATATTTTTCATCACCCTAAACTGTTCATTAGTTACGCGTCTTCAAAGTCCAGGTATCAACTTGTTGAGAATTTATAACATTTAGGAAAATATTTAATAAACCTGATTTACAAAAATTACTTTGAGAAGAATAATACTAGTTGAAAATAACAAAATTTGATTTCCAGAAGCTTGGAAGTCATTATTAAGGCGAAAGGGATACTAGAACGTTTATGTACATTTCACATTATTAAACTAATTATTTACAATGAATTGATCGTTACCAAGCAGTATGTTGTACTATATTATAGCAAGGAATACAGACTGACGTGAATATTGCGAAAGAAAAGTGCTTTAAATTACCTTCGATGAGTAGACCGGCAACAAAGGCACGTGTTTTGCTTCTTCACTTAGGTTCCATTTATTTCAGCCGGCACAATACAGGCCGGATTTGACACATCTATCAGCGCACAATGCTTAACCCAACCCGCCCCATTCTCTGCTTTTCGCCCCTTCTTCTTCCTCTTTTTCTTCCTCTTCTTTTCCTGCTTGTTTGACGACGCGCCGCAATCTTCCATCGACAGAGTAAACGCAGAACAAAGCATGACTGATATTCCGGTCAACTCCTCTGGAGTAATTACTCTTCCTTTATACGTCACCTTTCTACTTACGCGTCATTAGCGGGAACACTATTTTTCCATTGGAAATCAAATTTTACAAACGGAATTGTTTTATTCACCTTCGGATATTAAGTTACGTAAGTAAATATAAAAACTTAAGAGTATACTTTTCATCAAAGGGGACCATAAAGGAAAAGTTAATTGAAGGAATACTTCATTTTCTCACTTTTGCCATATATTTTTTTTCCATTATTTGTTTTAATATAAAAATACACCAGTAGTTTCGCTAATGAGGATACTTATCTTATAATTGATCAGTCGAATGACAACTTACGTAACTCGTCTCGTTCAATTAGCAAGAGGCCATCTTATTTCGAGACACCCTCTACATACGAAGGTAGAGATGGAGAGAAACAGTAGAAGGAAAGATGTCTGTAAATTAACGATCGTGGACGCTGTCTTGGGTCAAAGCAAGCCGCTAAGCCGTGGAATCGTTATTATCGCTTTCACGAGTGGTGACGCTGATAGATGCCACCTCTAAATGATGATGGATGGCTCGTATAACTGTCGCAACACACGGCTACCCGATGAGCTTCGTATCTTGATTTACTGCTTGTCCCTTAGCCATTTTGCAATTCCACGCAAACACACAAATATGTGAATTGCTATTATCGTATCGCATCGTTGTTAATTCCTCCTAGGAAAACAGAAATTCCTCGTTAATTTCATTGACAAAATCAATTGATCTTTATGGAAAGTCTAAATGTAAAGATAACAATGAAGATTAGAGAAATAAGGGGTATTACGACGCTGTTAGATCATCTTTTCAATTGTGTAAGATCAAGATAATATTAAATGACCTCATTCTCTGTTTTAAACGATTAAAACCTACACATATTTATTTTTAAAAAATTAGATGAATTAGCAATCAGGAATCTGACTTTTAATAGTGGCACTGCAGTAGCACTTCAGCCCATATTTTCATCTTTTTCCCTATTTATATTCCATAATATACTTATAAAGAATATGAATCTACTTAAACGTATTTTTTTTAACTATATACTCATGAACTGTTCGAAACTATACAGTCAAATTACACCTACGATATACTGGTATCTCATTTTTATTAATGAGAATATTTAAAAATAAACCAAGGATTTCGCAATAATCGTAGAAATGTTCTCTTATATTTATATACATCACTGTATATTACTACACTAATTGTTGATGATTGGTTAAATGCTATCTACTCGCTTAATTTATATCCCCCATCTGCGGGGGACTTCGCATTATCGGTAAAATGTCAAACGTAAGATTTATTACTTCCTTATCACTTTAGAGTCAAACATCCGTCTTTGTGTTATTTTCGTCCGACAATTGATAACAAACGATACAGATTAATTAAAGAAGACTGGAACACTATTGCATAGAGAAAGCAACAAAGATTATAACAACGTAGATAAATGCTGTACAAAATAGAATATAGTACAAGTTTAATACCAACTCTTAAAGACTTCGTGCTGCGACAATTGTATTTAAAAAAGAAACTACCCTTAGATGATGCGAACTACATTTATGACTTTGCTAATGGTAAGAAATCTGAAATTTTTGTGTCAATTTTCCTCGAAAGTAAAGATATGTTGCAAATTTGTAAATAATATGGATACCGGATGCAATTTTGAAAATATCCCTCATTACGATCATTGTACACACATCAACTGTTGAAAAGAGCCATAGATTATGGCTGGAGTACTTTCACGAGAATGTTAAACTGGAAGGTGAAAACACGAAAGCGGCAAGTAATAAACGAGAGCTTTTTATTCGAACGGCGTTAAAGGATTGACCTGTTCCACGTATCGCGTGCAGATGCTCCCCTTCCATGTTCCTTTTCGTTTAACGTGCCACGGCCGCGGGACATCGTTCATCACTCTGATGTATAAGCCTCCATAATGCTTGACAGCGAGCGACGAGATGACCGTACCAGGCCGCGGACATTTCCTTCTCGCGTGGCTGAATTAACGCCTCGTCATTAGCAGCCTGTCTGAAACTACCTGATCGTAGCTCGAAACCTCCATGTTCCATGCCACATCATTACGCCACGCTTTTGTTGACTGACGTTCCTTTCTTACGACACTGAGTTTTTCATCTTCCACACAGACACACAGCTGTCTACCTCCTCACTCTTAAAAATTAGTTTTCATTTCTTATTGATACTTAGAAATGGCATGAAGGAGCACTGATCGATCCGTCATTCCGCGGTGGTTTCGATTTTCATGCTAAAAAGAGAAAGAAACGTGAGAAGAAGAAATATTTCTATATTTAACTTGTCGAGCATCGAAATACTTTCGCGGTCCAAAAACGACGTATACGTAAAATTAAAGAAAACGTAATTTATTTCACATCGTCAGACTAGAAGTAAATTTATAAAGGAAAGTGACGTTTATCAAGACATTTCACCGGCAAAAACAAGTTATCTGAATAATTTGTTCGCGTCTGGTCTGACTATTTTCGTTGCTTTTAGCGATACCATTTATCTAGGGAAATAATTGATAGTATTGTCAACAGATCAGAGACTGCAATGGCCTCGTGATCGATCAATTGACCGCGATAGACACGTCAGAATGAAATAGTCGCGTTATCTTCACGCGCGTGCAAGCCGAAGCTTGAACAAAAGCAGTATTTCTCAGCTGCTCGATATCATTCCCATTGCTCCATTCACTTTTTCCATTTCTTTTCTCCTTTCAATTGTGTATATTCGTGACCGAAAATTGGTATAGTAAAAATACACAATTATTCAAGATATTAAACATTAATTAATTACTTAATTTAATGCTTCCATTTGTTGTTTTAAATTGTTATCTATTGTAACTTTAACGCTATTCAAAATACATTGCCGTGGTAACGGCGGTTGAATTGGATCAAGCAAGAATAATATCGCGACGTTTATCGTTAGTTATGATAGTAAGTAGGAACGGTAAGAAGGGTAAAATGTGTTGCAAAAGAGGGAAAGACAGAGGATGAAAGAGGGGAGCACTAATCACGTTCGACGTCCGTCAGTCATTGAAATTCAGCGATCCCTCGTGGCTTTCCGCAAATCTAACCGCGAGAGTAGTTGGTCGACGCGTAGAAGAGGACGACACTGATCGATAGGTTGCTAACGGACGGTTGAGGGGTTGTCGAAGCCTTGACCCTGCTCTACCGTCGGCAGCTTTAATGCTCGCGGTCAGCGGGAGCCGACGCTCTCCCCGCTGGTCCGGATCGGGGCTCAGCTGTCTGCTCAGATAGGAATCTGGTCGGAGCTTAATGACGGCTCGTGACGGACGGGTATCGAAGCCCGCAGCACCGACCAGAAGAAGAAGAAGGGTTGCTGGAACGCGGGAGTCTGGCGTGTCACATCAACGGCGCCGCGAAATCTACGACCTCGCTTTTACCAAACGGATTGAATTCTTTTCCGTTTCATTGCTCTACCTCAACCCACCGCCCTACACGTGTATACAATCGCTCAAAATAAAAATCTATATCCGAGTAGATTTTCACTTACTATACAGAATAACAAGATTCACTAAAAATTTTGTTAACTTCTGGTTTGATGAACGAAAGTTGAAAGTCTTGTTCAATCTATATTCAATCGCCATTGACTTTTAGACCATGCTTTGGGCAACCAAAATAAAGAAAACAGTCATCGTCTACTAACATAGGTAGAGAAAAGTTGTAAATGAAAGGAATCCCTTCAAAGGATTTTGTATGTTACGCAGGCTCATCAATCTGCGTGTGGGTCTATCGGGTATAAATTAACGAAACAACAGACGGCAATAATAGGCAGCCTTAAACAGTAAATAGAAAATTCCAGTAGCCGGGCGGAAGGCGAAGTGGATCAAAGGGTGCCGACCAACTTGAAGCTTCGGCTCAGTCAGTCCTCTTCCTCTGGGATAGACTGCAGGGGGAAGGTAATAGATTGCCTCTTTCTGACTTTTATTGTACCAGAAAAAGCTTGTCAGATTCAACGCGGAGACCCCGCCACTTCCCATTACGTAGCATGAGAATGGGCGTTGAGGTGAAGACGAAAAGGTGGAGCCGGGTCGTGCCACGTTCGAAAAGGGAGGAAATGTTAAACGATTCACAAGAATTTTTCATGGACGACAGGTTGTCGACGGAGTAGAAAAAAACAATTATTTATCGTTGCCACCGATGTGCCCCGAGCAACGAGATGCTTACACATGATTTATTTATTATGA